TTTTTTTTTTTTTTTTTTTTTTTTTTTTTTTTTGGTACCGGGGATTGAACTTGGGTCCTTGCACTTGCAAGGCAGGCCACCGAACGGCTGAGCTAAATCCCTGGGCCAAAATGTGACATTTTAATATGAAACTCCATTTATTATATACACTGATAGCAGGTATTTCCTAAATAAAAAATTATTTTTAACCTGTAAGTTTTGCATCTATGTTCCTATAAAGACCAAATTTTAAATAATAGATATGATTCTTTTTCTCACAATTCTCTTTAAACCACTTGTGCAAATGGCAGTAGGAAGGCTTAAGATAGGCAAGGTTATATTGTTTGTAATTATTTCTTTCAGTATTACTGGTGAATTCTGCCTCTAAATAAACTATACATATTATGGTCCAAAGTATAGTAGTGCCAAGCTAGCTAAGGAACACATTCAACATTCTTAACCAGTCCAATTACTTAAATACAGGTTGACCAAGAATTGCCTATTTTTGTTTTTATAAAATAACAGGAAATATAAAAATGATAATTTTATGAAATGTATTCAATATTAAGAATCAACTAGTTGAAATGACACTTGCCCGAGTGATGCTCAGGGTAGTCCTTAGACAGTTGCACTGCCCTGAGTGACACTTGGGGTAAAATGGTTACTTTTGCTTTTTAAAATGGGTTAAATGGCACCTTAAACCTGTGAGGACACTATTTCATTCAAGTACAATCTTAGTCTTTTTCTGTGTATATAAAGATAAATTATGCTGGAAACATTAAAACATTGAACTTCCTTGTAGGATTAAGAAACAAAACTTAAGGCTGGAAAAACTTAAGATAAACTTGTACAAAAGAAAGGAGCCAATCATTTCTGTTGCACTGTCACTATGAAAATTTACCTTTCTCTCATAGAATACTAATAGCAGGAAAATAGGATTTTTGAGGCTTTCTAAATACTCATCTGTCAGAAGGAAATATCATATTAGTGTCTAATATGCCTTTCCACAAAGACCAGAGAGAGAACTTTTTTTTCAGACAGATATATCCATATCTAGAACTTATCTGTCATCTCTCAAACTGGGCTAAAATTAGTTCTTCCTTATTGTTTGGAGTATCAGGTTTTAAGAGGAAGACCTGATTCTCATCCTTGGGTATCAAAATTACTTGTGGAGCTTCTTAAGTTATTGTATACTAAATTAGAATCCTCATGTTTATATTCTGTAAGTCCCACATATTGTTGTGCAGAGATAATAACTGAGATAATAATGCACCTCTTCATATAACAAAGCTTACAGAGAAAATATGGCTGCAAATCCAGAGTAATAACTTTCATTCTGTAAGTATGGTACTGACCTATTGTAGAGTTTGGTAAGGGGAAGGGAAGTCATCCCTAAATAAACCTGTTTTTCTTTGAGTTCCAGTTTTATAGGAAGTGAGTTTGTAAATCAAAAGTGCACTCACTAGGGCCAGGGATTTACGTTAGTGGTGCTGCTGCCTGCCTTGCAAGCTCAAGGTCCCAAGTTCAATCCCCAGTACACACACACACACACACACACACACACACACAAACTGCACTCACTAAGGAGCTTCAGAAAACCATCAGGAATAGGATAGGAATAAAGACTAAGACACAGAAGCCTTATGAGCCAAGATTGTTATAGCTAGTGTTGGAGGTAAGGAAAAACAACAAAATGAAGATCACAGTTGTTTAAACGCCTTCCCATGTCTTAAGGGTTGTTGGGTAAAATAGCAAATATCCAAAAAAAGAAAAAGAAAATAAATGGTATATGGCTAACAAAATAACAAGTGACTATTTGTTATAATTGACATATCACTTGAAGGCCATAGTTGCACTATGTATAACACATTGTTGGGTGTTATACATTCTGTGGATTTGGACAAATGTAGAATGGCATGTAGCTAGCATTAGAGTGTCATATAAAAGTTTTATTGCCCTAAAAACCCCTTGTTCTCCCATGTATCCCTTCCCTGCCCTAACCCCTAGCAGCCATTGACACTTTTACTGTTGCCATAGTTTCCTGAAGGTCATGGCGTTTGTCTCTTAAAATATGGTAGCCTTTTCATACTGTTCCCTCACACACACACTTAGGGCTATATATTTTAAGTTCCCTCAAGCCTTTTTATGGCTTGATGGCCATTTCTTTTTTAGTACTAGTATTTTACAGTGTGAATGTACCACAGTAAAAAGCAGTAGTATGAATAGTGATTTGGTTTGCTTTTTTAAAGCGAGCACTAAGCCATTTATGTTTTGGTGTAGACTTTCTTATAAAAGTTTATCTGAATAACAGCTTTGAAATGTACAGTTTAGTAAATGGATTTACATATAGCTAAGAGACATGAAGTCAGTATTGCACAGTTTTGCTGCTTTTTAGAGATTAAAAAACATTTGTTCAATTATGTGCAAATCAGCAACTTTATTATCAAAGAGTTCAGCATCACAAGATTTCTAATTCTAAAGGGTTTTCTTTACATAACATCATACTGTGATACAGTATTAAAAGAATCAGACACTACTTCCCATTCTAGTTGCTCTTACAGTTGGGTAATTTGATGTAAAAAGTATAAATAACTCTGTCTTGTGAATACTGTCCATGAAATGTATTACTTCCTTTTCATCTAGTACAATTATACTAGTGCCACACTGAAACCTATTTTATAGTGACATACAAGTCAACTATAAGAAAAACAATCATTTTTACTTACGAAGCAAATTCTCCTTAACATAAAGAAATGTATACAATTATGTAAGGCAGATGAGCCTCGAAAAAACCTTTGTACAGAGATAATATTTCAGTAATCCCATGAGAAATCAAAGACTCGTTATTAATAGAAAATTAAAATTAGCCCTTGAACCTTTGACAATTTAACTGCTAAGGCCTTGCGTGAATTCTAATTAATGCTCTACATCAGTGGTGGTGAACCTATGGCACATGTGCCGTGGTGGGCTGTTAGCACTGAAAGCTCTAAAAGGTTCGCCACCATTTCACTAAATTAATCACTATTCCTCAGAACAATATATCAGAAGAATATGAATCTCAATAATTATAGGCTATTTTAAATCCAGTATTCCATAAACAAATCTGTTCCCAGGCCACCTTTAATATTTTCAATAAATTACTTGTGTGCCTATTATATGCCAGGTACTCTGCTGGATCTGAAAATGTGGTTGTGACAACAGTGCTTATCTGGCTTTATAGTATCAGCCAGCTGGATAATGGAACATTTGCCCAGAATGGCACCAACCAATATACTAATGTACCAAAGCTATCCAAATTAAGTGACTCAAAAGTAAAAAGGAGCAAATACAATAAGACATTTGCATTGTTTTCCTTAAACACAGCCATACCTGATCAGACCATTCAATGCTTTCTATGTAAACTGATTTCAACAGATGGATAAGACCAATTATTATCCTCCTGATATAAAACCAAATGTAGCTCATCATAAATATTGCTAAGAATTATTCATCACCAGCTTTTCTGCAGGGGAAATAGAAAGTCACATCCTTTTGTGCAGGCAAGGATCAATTTTTAAATGCTCCAACTCTGCTGGCTTTGCTGATGAAGCTCTTCAGGAGATCATGGTCCATTTCTGCAAACCCTGAAGTTTGTGTTACAACAGTCAGATGGTTTATGCAAAACCTGAAGCAGAATTCTTCTAAATCCTAGGAAAACAACAATGGTTTAATAATTCATATTTTCAGTGCAATGGCCCACAAAGTATGAGACTTCCTCAAAGAAGGAAAAAGGATTTGATAGCTGCTTGGAGGAAATATTGGTAAATACCTGAAGAATAGTTATAAAGACTATATAACCAACATGAATCCATGTCTCTAAAAATTTAAGTACAGTAAAACATTCAAGTTCCACCATAGCAACCAGTGCAAAGAATCTAGCTGTCTTTTCCCAGAGACAGGCACCTAAGCTTATGAATTCTTCAGTACCTTTTCCAAGCGACAGTACTTGAACCATTCATTGTACTGTCAAAATTGTTAAAAACAGGATACTCCTTTTTCATGTTCCCCTGGGTGCTTTAAATATTTCTACCTGTAAGATCTTGTAGAAGAAAAAGAATAAGCATAAAAATAGTAATACTGGGAAACTGCCTCTCAAATCATTAACAGGCCACTTGTTTTTGTTTTTGTTTTCCTTTGTGAGAAGACAAAGCAGGGATGGACAGGACAGAGTTCATCACACTACTCATACCTTCAGCAATATAAATGGGAATAGCTCAATAGTATGGGCCCACCAGATTTATTTACTTATTTACTTTTAATTTTCTTGCTCTAGAGAAAGGAGGTCAGCCTGCTGAGACCTCCAATAAACCTCAGATCCTGGCTGTGCTGCCATCTGCCCCAGCACATGGTCCATCATGGTGGCAAGTCAACTTTTAACGTTTCTTTTCTATGTTGCTGAAGCCAATTTATAAAAAATAATTTCCAAACAATTATACATACACATGGCACACATGTGTCTTCTTTAGACACATAATGGTAGCAAATGTTAAAGACAAAGACTAAGATTAGCAATAAAACAGAAAAGCCAGCTATTCTGATAGCCATGCCAATGTACACAAACTTGCAGTACATTTCCCTTTAAGTAAAGAAACACACTATGTGAGGAAAACCTGAACACAGCCAAGCAGGTGCTAAGGTCACACTGGCAGTGTGACATATTTCAGTCCCAGGTAAGCCCTCAGGGATAAAGAGGAAAATTCACATACCCACCTGATCATATAGCATATTACTAAAAATACATTTTATTGATATATACTAAATAGAATATGCATTTAAAATCATGTACTTTGCTTAAATTTTAGAAATGATGTTTTTGCCTACAGCACATGAACGTGAGACAAGACAAGACAGACAGACATCTTTTTTATTGAATTCTACAGAGTGGAGAAATCCATACCCACAACATAAACTTCAGAATGCATGGAGGTAGATGGCTAAGCATTTAGCAGTCTTAGGGAGCTGGACAGTGTCAGTAAAATGACTAATCAGTTGGAGAACAAAAGGACCCTAAGAAGTGGTCATTTGGATCCACCCTCCTTTACTTTCTAAAATGGGAATTTTCTGTACTTATTATAAGGACAGGACTTGGAGAGAATTCCTGCAATTCTAAGAATTTGATAAATTTTCTTAAGGTGGTATTTTGGTCACAAGGGAATTCTATCCATATAAAACAAGGCCCCATTATTTTTTGATAAAAGAATATTGTCTATATGCTACTACTCTATATGGCTTCATCTTTAAGATTAGGCCCTTTTGAAGGGAGGGCAGGGGCAAGGGGAAAAAATGAGAATCAAGACGTATTATGTAAAGGTACAGGATCCCAATGATGAATGTAACTATTGTATACCTAGATTGTACCAATAAACTCAATAAAAAGAAAAAAAAAAGAATTACAAGATTAGGCCCTTAATTCTACTGAGTAATCCTTCCACATTTTCCTCGTTCATTCATTCTCCTACATAACTGTCATGCTCTCTCCCTTTAAGGCCCAGTACCTCCTCGCCTGGTCATCATGCTATGTTAACATGACTTCCCATTTCACTGAGCAAACAGAGCACTCAAAAGAGGATCCACAAGCTCTTACAATCTTGTCTCCTAGCCTCCCTGGATGCCTATGAACTCTCCCCTTTCATGACAGGGTGAATGGTCTGTAGCTGATACAAGGCCAATCCCCTGCTTTCACTAGATTTTGTTGTCCTACCTACTCAGGGTCACCACACTCGTAACCATTCCCTGCAACTTGTTCTCCTTGACTGGATCATTCCTATCATTATGCGCAAACTTCAGTTTCTTTCATCTTAAAAAAATTTAAAAAGTGTTACACTTCAAATGCCCCTGCAACCTAATTCTCTTTATAAGAAAACTTACTAGAAAAAGTTGTCTCTATTCCCAATCTCTAATTCCTGTTTTCATTATCCAATTAGGCTTTACCCCACCACTGCTTGCCAAGGTCAGCCATGGGGTTCTCGTTACTCTTGGTGTTCATCTTAACCCACTGATAGCATCTGATGTCACAGAGGACTGGCTACCAGGACACCATCTTCTAGTTTGTCTCTTCTCCACTGCTTGATATTTTTTATTCCTTTGTTGTATCCCTATAGCCCCTTGACCTCTATACACTGAGTGCCAAGTACTTGATCTTCAAACTCAAATCTCATGACACAGCCTCACAGCTTTAAATACATTTCTCTCTGAATTCCAGACTGGTTTATGCAACATGCTCATTAGACACATTCATTTGGATGTGTAAGACATACTTAACACACTCAAAACTGAATTCCCTAAGGTTTTCCAAATGCTGTTCCTACTCATCTTCCCTATCTCATGACAATTTTATCCTTTTCTCTCTCAGGACAAAAACCTTGATGCTATCTTTATATTTTCTTGTGCCCCTCCCCATCTAATCCATCAGGAAATCTTATTGTCTCTACCTTCGAACTATACCCACAATCCAAATACTTTTCACCACTCCACAGCTGAGGACTCGGACTAATCCACCCTCACGCCTTACTGGAATGCACCGCTTCCTCACTGACCACCCTCTTGGCCCCATATGCTTTCACAGATTTTATTCTCAGGGTTGAGTGAAAAATATCTTTCAACTTCAAATATTTAGAAATACAAACACCTGGAGGGAGGAAGAATGCTGTATGATAGTTTTAATATTTTCTGGTTGATGAGTTCATTTCCTTCCTCATACTTTTTGTATTTTCTACATCTTCTTTAATAAGCCTAATACTATTTACATAAGTGGAAAAATATTTCCCTATTTTTTGGCCAGGGGTAAGGATATCCTTATACCAAAAGGAAACTGACATGGAGAAATTACTGCCTGTTTCCTAACACTAGCTCTAAAATAGGTTTTATTATCATAACAATGCATGGTTTCTGTAGAAAATTCAGGAAAAGCAGAAAATAAAAATCATCCATAATCCCACCACCCATGATAACCACGTCCCATATTCTTTCATCTTTTCTATATAGTCTAGTCTTTTTTATTCAGCTATTTATACTTCAAAAAATACAGCATCACAGGTTTTTTGCTTAATGATATACCCTGAATAACTGCATCACTTAATTATTACTAACGTTTTATAAACAGACTTCTATTAACATTATTTATTTTTCAAAATTATAAACTGCTCTAATAAATATCCTTGAAGTTAAATCTTCATCCAAAACCTTAATTTGTTGAGGTAAGTCCCTATAAGTAAATTCCTTTGTTAAACAATTACATCTTTGAGGTTTAGCAAGCTATTTATATATACACACACACACACATATATATAT